AAACAAAGAAATAAACAAAGGAATCAATTTGCATGACAAGAAACAAAATCATTTTGTATGAAAATTAAAAAAAATTAAAAAAAAAAAGAAAGAGAAGAAGATCGAAAAAGGAACAAACAAATGAAATTAGGATGGCTAGGACAAAAAAAAAAAAGGAACGAACCCGATCAATTTGTATGAAAACAAAACAACCCAAAACAATTCATAAGAACCCAGATCAATTGAAGCTGCAAAAATATGGTTTCATGGGTTTGCTTTCCAATTTAAAATAAACCTAAGTTCGGCTAGAAGAATTCAAGAATAAAGTAAACAAAATAAAAACATAAGGCTCTTCCATTGAGAACCTATAGCTTGGCTTCTCACTAATACCTAGATTGGGTTCAAGAAGAAAACCCAGATCTGGTTCTCTCGATGAGAACCCATCTGGGTATGTCTAGGTTCTCACCACGACCTAGCCAAGGTTCGGCCATCATCATCTTGCCCATCGTCATCCTCACCTTCAAGTAGTATCGGGAAAGGGTCGTTCGGCGATGAAGATTAGAGATAGGGGAGCATGATAATCGTTGATGAAGATCAGAGATGAGTGAGAACAATGATCGGTGATGAAGGTGATGAAGATAAGAGATGGGTGAGAACGGGCATCTTGACTCCCAACTCGAAAACCATATCCCTGAAAAAGTCGATCCCCAATTCGCCACCCTCTCTCTCCTGTAATCCATTCAACATCATCCCCAAATCACAATGCCTCACTAGCTCTCCTAAACCCCAATTCGCCTCCTTCCAATTATGTTGCTGGGCTTGGCCGTGGTGCCACTGGATTCACAACGCAGTCCGATATTGGGCCTGCCCGATTATTCACATCGGACCTTTTGGATCGATTTACTGTGGCTGCCTCCGGCCGTGGCAGTGGAAAGCCTGGAGAAGACAAGGAAGAGAATGAGTTTGACGATTTTGAGGGTAACAATCTGGGGCGTTTTGTGTCTTCAGAATATGACGAGGATGACAGGGATGCGGACACAATCTGGGAAGTG